TCCTCTGTCATGGCCCAGCACCTAGCACATGGTAGGTCCCGACAAATATTCGATGAAAGAATAAACGAATAAATGAACAGATGCATGTTGGATGAAGGCTCTGGTCAGCAGTGCCTCTCAGACATAACCGGGAGTGAGAGATGACCCTGGAAGGCAAGAAGGAGGGAAGGGCTTCCGTGATGTCCAAGCTTAGGAGACACTGAGGCGGTGCCGAGCCCTGCATGGCTTCCAGCTGTTACTTCCCAGCTGGTGACACACACCCCAGACCTCGACAGCACCCCCGAGCCCTGGAAGGAGCCAGTGGATGGTGTCAACAGCCTCCCTTGGTGCTCCAACCCCCCCAGCCTGTGCCCACCTGGCCAGAGTTCCTAGGTATTGCATCCTCTGTTCACAGAGGCCCAGGAAGAGTCACAGGGGCATTCTGGTCGTCCCTCACTTTCCTCTCCCAGTGGTGACCCTGTTTGGTAGCTCCTCCTCAGTACTAGCCAGAGAGACTTGGTGAAGCACCCTGATCTGGGGAGCAAATGAAGACACTGAAATGGTCAGAGGCGGCGGGCCAAGGCTTTCTTGTCTAAATCCCTGCACCTGCTTTCTGTGGGGGCCCGCAGGGGGGCCCTTGAGACCTTGGCTTTGACCCACCCCCTCCCTCCCGGAGGGGTCCCAACTGTGCTTTCTCACTGGGGGCTGTGAAATGCAAATGTGGGCAACAGCACAAGGAACCAGGATTCCAACTCGGCTACCAGACAGGTTCATCACCTTCAGACAGTTCTTGTCCTGGGTCCCCTCATCGCTAAGGCTCCTTTGGGCTCCGAAGGCCCGACTCTACTCCTTCATGTCACTTCTCTCCCCGGTGGGGGAGAGTGGCCACCATGTTGCCTCGAGACTGTTGTTTGGTGAATGTTCTTAAGACACGCGTGTCCATGTGTTCATGCTTTGCACGCGCACATCCACTGGGTGTGTCTGAAGAACTTGATTGTGGAGGGAAGGGGCTGTTCCACCTTCACTTAAACACAAGCTTGAATGAAAAGAGCACCCCATTTTGTTGCTAAAAGTGGCTGAAGGGGACTTGAGGGCTGCCTGCCCACGTGCGCAAGGCACGCACCTGCCCGTCAGGTCTGGGCCCCAGGGAAAGGCCTGGCTATGTCAGCTGTAGAAGGAAGCACATCAGGCGAGGTCTGGCCGTGAGCAAGGAGATGTCCCGAGTCGTGAATCTTGGTGGTGTCTTGAGAGTGACTGGCATATCTAGTGCCCTCCAGACAGCAGTTATTGCCACAGAATGCAGGGGGAAGGGGGCCGTGGGCTGGAGGGTCTGACCCCCTTGGAGGCAGGCCAGGTGGCGCCTTTTAGAGGTCCCAAACATGAAGGAAGCCGGCTGCCCTGGCACGAACCAATAGCCCAGGCGGGGAAGGGGTTCTGGTTGTGATGTCTCTGGCAGCACCACAACAGAATTCCTTCTCTCCGCTCAGCCCCTGGGAGTTGTAAACTGGCAGGGCCATGTGTGATTGTCCCCCCAGACAGCCTCAGCTCCCCTCCTCTTTCAGCACATACTCCAGGGGGAAGGCATTGTGTCTGCTTAGTTCACTGCTGTAACTCCCGTGCCTAGAAGAGTGAACATCTGGCACCCAGTAGGTGCTAATAAATAGTTACTAACTAAAGGAGAGGTCCATCCCAGTGTATTGTGGGATTGGGGGCAGGTGGTTTGGGGCCTGCGTCCTCTGAGATTGTACTCAGGGACTTGGCTCTGTGCCTCAAAACAGTCTGCTCTAAGGAGTTACCTAATCCCCTCTGTCCGCATCCAGCCTGCCCTTCCTTCTCTGGCCTTGGCCTGGTTGGAAGCCAAAGCTTCTTGGTGGGCCCCCACCCCACCTTATCCCACCCCAACTCCCTCGGCCTTCGGAGGCATGCCTCTGTGCCTTCCTCTCTTCCTCCACTGATTTCCACAGACCTGACTGCCACCCCAGCCTGGTCTCCTTGAAATCTACCACCACCAAGGACCTCAGTGTCCTTCTGGGGATGGGAGAGCCTGCCCTGAGCAGGACAGGGAACAGCCTGAGGCAGCAGAGTGCATACTATGGCTCTTGATCCACCACGCCCCAAAACCTCAAGAAAATTCCTCTGTACAGACCCAGGAACACCGAGTTGTAGGAACTCAGGAGAAGTGGAGAACAGAGAAGAGTATGTAGCTCTTCTCTAAACTAGACAACCTAACTTGGGTGAACTTCTGCCACAGTTCCATATAGGGTGCTAGGAGGCAAGTCGGGGTGGGGGGAGAAAAACACCCTTAACCCTCTTGGGTAAGCTAGCTCCCAGACCACCAGGAAACCAGCAGGCTTGCAGGTCACTGTGTTTTTCCACAAAAACACAGTGACCTGCAAGCCTGCACAGGTGGTCTCAGGAAACAAGCAGAAAGCGGTCAGGACTGGCGTGCGGTTAATCTGAGAAGCCTCCTTGGGGGTGAGTTTTAGGCAGAATTATAAAGGAGGTGAACATCAAAACGGAAAGGAAAGAAGAAGGTATTAATAGTCTCAAGTTTTGAGGTTTTAAAGGGGACGGTGACACAGGCTGTCAGGGACGCTAAGGTGTCCCCAGCATTCATGTGGACATCGTTCACTGGGGAAAAGGTCACGATAAAGGTCAAAGGCCACAGAAGAGGGAGTGAAAGAAGAGAAGTGAAAGACTTCCCCATTTCCATCTATGTCACCGAAGTCAGTGAGTGAGACAGTCTAGATCCGGAAACAACAGTCCAGGTGGAAAAATGAGAGAGAGGAGGGAGGGAAAGAAGCGGGCAGCCCCAGACACGAGGCAGATGGAAATGCAATGAGAGGTAATGCCTGGGAATAGGGCTCCCTGGAGAGGGCATGGGAAAGAAAGGAAGGACCCAGGCAGGAAGGCAGACTGGGGTCAGCTCCCGCCAGGAAGGGTGAGGGGAGAAAGTGGAGGTGGCCCCCATTCCCATGGGCTACGGCACTCCCTAAGCCTCTCCACCGGTCTCTGTTCCATGGAAAGCTCTGAAGGGTTTACTCAGCACGGGTCAGGAAACAAATGTCTCTTCTCTGGGAGAAAGATTATCATGCGATGCATACAGAAAACAAAGACAATTATTCTTTCCGCCCCAGACGGATGCACCACCCGGCTCAGACCCGGGCGCCCCGGCAGCCTGGTGAGAGAACGCTGCTCCTCTCACCCTGTATCAACACAAGCTATGATTCATAGGTTCCCTGTGAAAACTGAGACTCTCGAACAATCTCTCAACGGAGGAGAGCTCCCCCCGCCCCTGCCCGCCTCAGCCGCAAGGAGGAAATAGCTCCGCAAACAAGTGCCAAGCTGTCATTCCAGGCCGGTGAGCGTTGGCTAGCCCATCATTCCACGTGTGTCTCTGAAAGGACACCTGTGTGGGAAGACCATGGAATCTGGCTCTGCTTCTCCATAGCTGGGCACCACTGGTCTGCTAAATTTACCATTCAAGGACTCAGTTTCCGGAAACTGAATACATTTCCGTTCCTCTCTCGCTCTGCTAGCTTTCGAAACCACTGCAAGGAGCAAGCGGTCAGCAAGAGAAAAGAAAATCTAACAATTTCTCTGGCTGTCCCCAGGATAGAGGCAGGGGGATGAGATGCAGAAAAGGGGGAGACCAGGAGCTTGCAGGCTTCCTATCAGTGTCCACTGACGGGGATGTAGGGCTCAGTCCACAAGACTAACAGTGAAAACAAGACAAATGTCTTGGGCGCCCTCCACTCAGTGCAACCACTGAAGCTCTCCCGATGAAGACTGAAAGCCAGGGACCCCCGGCCTTCAGCCGGAGTGGCCAGTCTGGGAAGCTTTTGGAATAAGGCAGTCTCAGACAGCGCTGGGAGGCAGTTTATGGTACACCACCTTTGTATAAATTTACGAACTCCAATTCTGTCTTCCTACTAGGACCACAAGCCTTTTATTAAAGGAAAAGAACGTGTATGTTTTCTTTCAAAATCCCCACCAGCCTTGCCACGGGAAGGACACGCGGCGGGTTCTCCGCTCATGTGTTTGATGGCACCAGAGGGACAGGAGACTCGACAAATGTTTCCTCAGCAATCACGTGTCCTAGGCATTGCAACAGTTATTTTCCCACATGAATCCTCATCACAAACCCCACTTTACAGACACCCAAACTGAGGCTGGGGGAAGGTTCGCGACTGGTGCGGGGTCTCACGACTAGTAAGTCGTGGGGCTGGGACTCAAACACATCCTCCCACACTCACAACTTCCCTCCACAGCAGACACAGGGGCTGGTCCCGAGAGTCCCACAGCGGAGCAGACAGGATGTATGTGTGCGCATGCACGTGTGTGTGCGCACACACTCCTGCTCCGGGAAATCAGGCGTGACCTACATGATAGAGAAGGAAGCTTATGAGGAAAACAAAGGGGCGGTCAAAACTGGGTGGTGTCCTGAGAAAGATGAATGTGGAGCAGGAGTTTTAGGACCTGGAAGGACAGCGTGGGGCAGGGGACACAGCGGGCACTTGCTGAGAAAAGGCTCAGGAGCAGGAAGCACAGCTGGGGAAGAGGTAGGCCTGGGAAACAGGGAATCGCGGGCGCTTGTTTTGACACACGATGTTTGCACAGGAGGGAGTGGGTCCCAGGCCTAAGAAAGTGGCTTAGAAACAAGGCAGTGTTTTTAGAGCCCATTAGGAGATGCATGATTAGGACATGACTGAAAGCAATTAGCGTGCTTCTCATTCGTCTGCTGATCAAGTTGCGACTGGAAAGGAGTTTCCACGTGGGGGAGGGATGCCAGGGAACCAACCAGTGGCCTTGACACTGTCTCAGAGGGGCGCTGAGCGTGAGCTCAGGGCTGGCGAATGCCTGGGGGATGCCATCAGAGGCCTCCCTCGGCTGCACCCCGCCCCTCCCGCAGGCCCATAAAAGCCAAGGCGGCCCCGGGCTCCCCAGGTGCCCCGTCTTCTCCATCCCCCAGCGCACACGCCCGTGTCAGGAGCTCTCCTTGCCAGCCTCGCTCAGCCACCATGTCCAGGCAGTCCAGCATCAGTTTCCAGACCGGCAGCCGCAGGAGCTTCAGCACGGCCTCAGCCACCACCCCAGCGGCCGGCCGCTCCCGCTTCAGCTCCGTCTCGGTGGCCCGCTCCGCAGGAGGCGGTGCGGGGCTGGGCAGGATGAGCAGCGCTGGGGCGGGCTTCGGGAGTCGCAGCCTCTACAACCTGGGGGGCACCAGACGGGTCTCCATCGGGGGGTGCGGCAGCAGCTTCCGAAGTGGCTTTGGTGGCAGGGCCAGCAGCGGGTTCGGGGTCAGCAGTGGATTTGGCTATGGGGGCACAGGCGGAGGAGGCTACGGGGCCTCAGGCTTCCCCGTGTGCCCCCCTGGAGGCATCCAAGAGGTCACCATCAACCAGAGCCTCCTGACTCCCCTCAACCTGCAAATCGACCCCACCATCCAGCGGGTGCGGAAAGAGGAGCGGGAGCAGATCAAGACCCTCAACAACAAGTTTGCCTCGTTCATCGACAAGGTGAGCCGGGGGGCTGCATGTGCGCCGTTGGGGTCGGGTGGCAGGAACTCTTGGAGAGACCCCCCCCCCCCCCCCCCGCGCATGGACAGGGAGCAGTAACGCAACGGCCTCCCTGTGGAAAAACGCATCCACTCAACAAGTACCTCGCAAGTGGCGCCAGATGGCCCACAGGACCTTGTGGAAATTTCCCTCATCCTCCCTGCGAGACACATGGTTGGTTCAGCCAACACAGAGGGAAGAATGAAGTTGTTCTCCACAGGAGGAGTTTCCACTGAGCAAACTAGCCTCACCCAGTGCAAGTGTTGTCAAGACACTCAATCCAAGAGTAGAGTCTCCCCCTAGAGACCTCCAAGCCCACCACACCAGTTCTAGGGAAGCCTCAGAGAATGGTGAGGTAGCTTCGAGGGCTTTCTCATTCTGATTTGGAGTTGTCAATTATATAGCTGACAGATGGTTATCAGGTGAAAGGTGGATTTTTCTTCTCTCCCTTATTAGTTGGAGTGTCTGGCTCTGCCCCCCAATATCTCAAGATTTCGTTCTCCCTCCCACCAGGTGAGGTTCCTGGAGCAGCAGAACAAGGTCTTAGAGACCAAGTGGGAGCTCCTTCAGGAGCAGGGCTCCAAGACGGTGAGGCAGAACCTGGAGCCCTTCTTCGACACCTATATCAATGACCTCCGCCGGCAGCTGGACAGCGTCACCACAGAGAGGGGCAGGCTGGACGCTGAGCTGAGGAACATGCAGGACGTCGTGGAAGATTTCAAAGTTAGGTAAGGGGAAGACGGGCTTCTGGTCACACACAGTCATCCCAGGACTCCTTTATATAAGGACCAGCGAAGTGCAAAGCAGCAAATACCAGTGGCAGCAGGGAGGTTTGGAACTTGAAGTCATCATCCCATGATCGGGAAGACAGCATGGTGTAGGGTAACAAAGGGACTCTCATCTCACGCATCACTATTAACAAGAAGCCTAGTCTAACCTGTCCACATGACCGCAAAGGGATGTCTGCATCATCTAAAATAACATGGCTACTCTGGAAAGCATAATACCATTTTACAGCCAGAATATTCTTTTACTTCGCTGGCACAGGCCCTATTATTGAGCTGGTACATTCCCAGTGTAAGCGAGGCAATCCTCCTGGGGGAGGCAAAATCTGGCCATCATCCAGGCTGCAGTAGGTGAGGTATCCAACAAAAAGGGATAGTCCCCCCCCCAAACCCATAGCTGCTTTACCCTTGGTTTCTGAGTTAGAGCCACTCTTATTTACTAAAAGTACGCAGATCATACACACAGCTGCTCTGAGGTTCAGTGAAAATACATCAAAATCTACCAGGAACCGTTTCCTTCCTGAACAAGCAAAATTGGCCCCACAGTTCCAGCAGCCACTTGAGGCAGCAACATTTGTGAAAGACTGCAATTGTGCATCTCTAATAAGATGGAGTCATAAGTGCATATTGCTATTCCCATAAGTTCCATGCTCACCTTCTAGTCTTACAAGAGGAAGAGGAAGAGGAAGAAGAAGAAGAAGAAAAAAAAAAACTTCTGGCAGAAGAAATGATTCCCCTTTTATAGAGGGAGAAATAGAGGTTAAGTGAATCACCCCAAGTTGCGCACAGGCCAGTGGAAGAGCTAGAAAGGATTTGGGGTGTCTTAACTCTTGCTACACCAGAAACGCTCCTCAGCCAGGGAAGAGTTCAGCTGCACACTTGCTCAACAGCACGTCCCCTCTCCTCTGTGCTTACAGGTATGAGGACGAAATTAACAAGCGCACCACTGCCGAGAATGAGTTTGTGGCCCTGAAGAAGGTGGGTGTAAATGTCTCTCAAAGGAGAAGATTCGAAACTGAATCTTGGAGTGTGCAGTGACTCGGCCCGTGGGACTCCCAAGAAATGGCACATAACCCTTGAGAGTATCTGGAGAGCTCAAATCTGCCAAAATCCTCCCTCTGTATTTATGGCCCCCTGACCCTGCTAGGGTTTCTGTTAGCTCAGGGGACTCAAGCCCCCAGTTCTCTGAAATCACCCACCCCAACCCCAAGCCCCAGACTCAGAGTTGGCTAAAATCTAACCTGGAAGGACCAGGGAGGAGTCAGTCTGCCCAGCTTCTTCTGGACTCACTGCTTGGGGCTGGGGTCTCAGAGGAGCACCCTGTGCTGTTGTTCTAGGATGTGGATTCGGCCTACATGAACAAGGTGGAACTGGAGGCCAAGGTCAACTCTCTGACTGATGAGATCAACTTCTTCCGGATGCTCTTTGAGGCCGTAAGAGCCTACAAATGTTTTTGTCCCTCCTAGGTCTGGAGCCTGGAAAGAAAAGAATGCTGCAGAGAATGTCATCTACATGGCGCCTCTAGCCAGCATCTTGCCCCAGAGGCTCAAAGTTGGGGCTTGGGTGGTCATGGGCACCTGGGAGAACTGCTTGAAATCTTGTCACACTAAACCCTACTCCTGCTCTGAGGCTGCCCTCCACCCCCCCAGCATAGCAAGCAGGGAGTGCCAATTCTCGAATCCCAGGGCCTTGGGTAGCATTCCCAAGGAAACGAGACACACCTCTCCCTCTCCCCTTCCAGAAAAGCTCAGAAAAGGCAAGTTGCCCCTCATCTCCTTGGTCAGGGTGCTCCTTGCCCTCTGAAGATGCCTCATTCTGGGCACTGCCACTGTGAAGGCAGAGACCTGGGTCTTTGAAGGGGAGAGAGAAGTAGAGAGTGACGAAGTCACACTGTACAGGGAGAAGCAGGGTCCCCAAACTCACTGTATCCTGAAGGACCCTTTTATGCTGGCATATGAATCAACATATGTCATAGTCAACTCAATATAATCTGGACCAGAGAACATTGACCCACTCTTCATACTCAGGGAAAACACACAGGTGGGGGTCTTGAGAAGCTATGCTGGGAGACACACCCCCATCGCACTGATCTGTGACCCAGGAACTTCTCAGGGCTCAGCATGGGAGTCCCTAAATGGCTTCGAGTGCCCAGAGAAGGGTTGGAAGAGTCCCTGCTAGGGATGACCTAGACGGGTAGTCAGTTGTGTGATTTCAAGAACCTTTCTTTTTATGCCTTGGTGATGCTGAGTTTTCTGGTTCCACAGGAGCTGTCCCAGATGCAGAGCCATGTCAGTGACACGTCCGTGGTGTTGTCCATGGACAACAACCGGAGCCTGGACCTGGACAGCATCATCGCTGAGGTCAAGGCCCAGTACGAGGATATTGCCAACCGCAGCCGGGCCGAGGCCGAGTCCTGGTACCAGACCAAGGTGAGCTTGGAACCTCTATGATAGGTTCCAAGACCAGTGTTATCTGAAGCCCTGAATAATCATTTAACTCTTAGCCACAAGCATCAGGAATACATGAGCATTTCTGTCTCTTTCAACATGGCCAAAGTGTCTGGTGCTATGAAAAATCAACTTGAAATTAGTGTAGAAACCCAACCATACACACGAACCTGTAGTCAAGCAATGTTGGGTGCTCAGGACAGCCCTCGTCCCCATATCACTTATGATCTGGTTGGGCCTGGGTGAGACTCCATAACAACCAAGGACTAGTCATACAGCTATTTCTAGATGGCTTATTTATTCAACACCTATGTGTCAAGCAGGGTTACAGAGTTGTAAATAAATAAACTGTTTATTTTTGGTCTGAGAGATCAGGAAATAAATGGAGGGGTCGTGGAAGGGAAAAGACCATGTTAATTAAAAGCTTCCAAGAAGAGGTGGGTCCTCCTTCCCTTGGGAAGCATCCAGGGACAATAGATTGCCAAGGATGGGGGAGGTATTTAAGGCTGAACAAGCAGTCCTGTGGGGACTGGAAGGCAGAAATGAGCACTTTGCCAAGCGAAAGACTCTATATCAAGAAGAGGGGGGTCGGGATGACCATGGAGAGCTACTGTCCAAAGTCACAGATGGCCAGAAGAAGGTTTGGCGTTGGAGGGTGTAGTAGACTGGATAGTCCAATCCATGAGATCAGCTCCCTGCCCAGTGCAGACCCCTCTCAGGGCCAGCTGCTCACCTACATGTGGCTTCCATCCTTCGCCCTGCTGTGTGCACTGCCTTGGTCCCTACCGCTGCAACACGGTAGGAAGGAAGAGGGTGTCAGGGGCCAGGGATGCACAATGCAGAGGCACGCCCCCTGCAGAGGCAGAGGCAGATGGTAAGTGGAGGTGAGATGTGCCTAAGTTGAAATTTACAGTGGTTGAAATTTATAGGGAACCATTCCTTTTGTAGGCAGGGCCTCTTGTTCCCTTAAACCATGTGTATCTAGAAACGGAGGAGCTGGGCCACTCAGCACTTTCAAAGCCAGCCAGATCTTTACTTGGTCAGGGGCTCTTCTTCCCTGGGAAAGGTGTGGGCAGGAGACAGGGGTGTTTGTTTCTCGTACAAGTACATCCTGGATATGCACCACTAGGCAGAGAGCTCCCTCAGATGGGGGATTTTGTTACAAAGTCTTCAGAACTGTGGCCCCTCCAGCCTGGCTCCATCTAACACCGGTTCCCTGCACCTCTCCCCTGCTCCCCCAGCACTGACGTCTGGAGGGAAACCAAAATTCATGGTCACATGGGTCTGGATGTATGCCCCATGACCGGGATCCCCAAAGGACACTGACCAAGTCACCTTGTCACTCCTAGAGCTCACCATGCTCCTTCCTGCCCCAGGGTCTTCACACAGGCTGTCTCCCCTGCCTGGAATGTTCCCTCCCCAGCCTATCACTTTGGCCATTCCTTCCCATCCTTCAGCACGCAGCTCGAGCACCTCTATCTCTGGAAGGGCTCTCCCGACCCCCACCCCACAACTCCATATCTGGGTCAGATTCCTTTGTTACACTACCTGTTCATTTCCTAAGGGGCACTCATCCCAGTTTGGAACTATAAATTCAGTAATATTTCATTAACATCTATCTCCCCCAATAAACTGTAAGCAGGGGTCTGATGATGCTCTCCGTGATACTCCCAGAGCCTAGCACGTGCCTGGCAAGTAGATGTGCCTGAGAAACACCACCCAAATGAATGAGTGAGGGAGTGTGTGAATGATCAGTGAATGGGTGGGCCAGGCTGTGCACACGCAGAGTACACAGCCCAGGTGTTTGATGAGGGGACTGACTCTGCTCTAATTCCATCAGTACGAGGAGCTGCAGGTCACAGCCGGCCGGCATGGGGATGATCTCCGAAACACCAAGCAAGAGATCTCTGAGATGAACCGGGTGATCCAGAGGCTGAGAGCCGAGATCGACAGCGTCAAGAAGCAGGTAGAGTTTTGGCAGGGCCGAGAGTTCCTTGCACACTCATTTCTCCCAGGTCATTCCATCATGCTTCCAGGACTCCTGCCCAAGACACGCCACACCTCCAGGGGCTGTCAGTAAGGCTTGTGACTTCCTCCTTTTCTTATAGTGTTCCAGCCTGCAAACGGCCATCGCTGACGCAGAACAGCGTGGAGAGCTGGCCCTCAAGGATGCACGGGCCAAGCTAGTGGAACTGGAGGAGGCCCTGCAGAAGGCCAAGCAGGACATGGCCCGGCTGCTTCGCGAGTACCAGGAGCTCATGAACGTCAAGCTGGCCCTGGACGTGGAGATCGCCACCTACCGCAAGCTGCTGGAGGGCGAGGAGTGCAGGTGGGGACAGATGGGGCGGGGGGGACAGATGCAATTATCCATTGCAGCTAAGCAAGCATTCCTAAGGGCTCAGGTTGCTGCAGCCCCCTCCTCTCCTGGAAAAGGGAGCAAAATGCAGATAGAATTGGGCTATGAGAGAAAAAAAAACAAAAACAGGTACAATTTCTTTCTGGGCCAGTAAATCATTATCAAATGCCCTTATTTGAAGTACAACTGCTTTTCGTACTCCATAGAAATCTAGGATCTGATCAGGTCCTAAGTAATCAAATTCTATCAGCAATTGGGTTATGTGGCAGGTCTGGATATATGGTACGAAAGGCTCTGGGCTGAGAATAAATTGTCCCAGGATTTGGGCAGACAGGCCTACCACTAACTAACTACGTAACCTCCGGAAAGCCAGTACCCTTTCTCTGGTCCTCACATTCTTCAGTGATGGAATAAAGAGGCCAAATCATCTGATCTCCAAAGCTCAGTGGGAGCTTTGTGTTCTGCTGATTACCAGCTGTGTGACCGAGGGCAAATTACTTTACCTTTCTGTTCCTCACCCGTGAAATGAGGATACATACCATGCTTTCTATCCCATATGTTATTAAGAGGGTTAAAATAAGGGAATACGCATGAAGTTCTTAGAACAATGCACGACACACAAGTGTTTGAAAAATGCCAGAGATCATTCAGTTTAGTGGCCAAAGATACGGGCTTTGGAGCCAAAGGAGTCTGGCTTCAAATCTTGCTTTGTGATCATGGGCAAGTTAATTAACCTCTCTGAGCTTCAGTTTCCCCATCCATCAAACCCACTTAACGGGGTCATGGAGAGAATTAAGTGGCATAATGTAGGTAACAGGTATGTACCTACAGGTATGTAGTCCTTTTTAATGTTCTAAGTCTGTGTTTATGAATGAAGGCCAGTTCTGTCCTTAGCATGCAAAAGCAAAATTACTCCTCTTGCTACAATAACAGGCTGATTATTGTTATTGTTATGTTTATGACTCAGACTCCTCTCCACACCTCTAATCACCCCAGCACTGCCCCATGCATGACAACAGTCCATTGTTGAGAGAGAAATCTTGTTCCTTAAGGAGCCCTCCCTTCCCAACCGACCTTAGTGTACGATTAGCTTTAATTTTCTCCAGGAGTCTACCCAGTTTGAACCAAAAAAAAAAGTATTTCTGAGATTACAGGTTTTCCTCCTAGGAACCTCAAACTCCGCATTATGTCATTCTTTAGATTATTATTTTTAATACTACTAGTATTTAAATAATTTCAACCTCCACTTACTGCTGCAATAAAAATAATAAAGGGTTTTTCAGTGCACTTAATTGCAAAAATGTGATTTCAAATGCCCATGAGCTGCTGGACATAATAGTAACGTTCCTTCTGCCCCCTCCCCCTGATCAGGCTGAACGGAGAGGGCGTTTCTCCAGTTAACATCTGTGAGTATGACATCCTCTGTGTCAGTTGGTGTGCATGTGGTTGGGGCAGGGGAGTGGCATTGTGCGGGAGGCCGGAGGGCATGCATGACCTCACGGATAGGGTCCATTTTGAGGTTTGAGGTCTTGAATTCGTTAAAAGGAGAGCCATAGTAGGAGTTTTTTTGTTTTTTTTTTTTGTTTTTTTTTTTAGGAGAGAGTCTTTAATGTCCCAATTCTTACCTCTTTGCAAGGGACAGAGCACCACAGAGGGGCTGAGAGGAGTTTGCTGTGACCCTTCTGCATGGGTCTAGAAAACCCACAGTTTCCACCCACCCCCCGGGGATCCCACACCTTTCCCTCTGGGATGCGAGTCTAGTTCAGACATGAGCATTCACTGCGGACAGGATTTATAAAACCCTGGTGTGCCCTCAGTCTTTGGAGGGAGCCTCCACGCTGGGCCCAAGGGCATGGCCAGGAAGGCCACCACTTCCTGAATGGTGTGGGGAGAAGCCCTGCCGCTCTATTTTACTCTGCAGAGTATAACAGCAGAAGGTTACCCGGGTTTTTCAAGGCGGAGAGAGCACATAAGGGCAGGTGGGTGTAGCTGCTCGGGAACAGGAGAGGCATTAGCAAGCTGGCGCAGCCCCATGCCACTAAGGGCAGAAGTCACTCTCAGAGCTCACTGCTGGCATTTTGAGGCCGACAGGGATGACTTTTACAGCTTGCGTCCTACAAGTGAGTTTGGTTTTCTTGATGCGGGATTCACAAAACCAATGATTGTACTAACCGATGATTCTAGAAAGCAGAGCCCTCTGAACTACCCAGCTGTCCTCCTTCACTGATATCCTTGTCTAGCGGCCCCCAAGACCCTCAAAGCTAGTTTTGGGGACAGCTGCCATAACCTCTGAAGTTCCCTTTCTCTTGAAAGCGCCTGAAAGTCCGTGTTTGTTATCTAGGGCTGCCACATCGCAGTACCACAAACTGGGGGGCTCCAAACCAGAGAAATGAACTGTCTCACACTTCTGGAGAGCTCTTAGTACTCCCTGCCCTGCATCCTGCCAATCTCTGGCTCTGTGATCACATGGCCCTTTCCCTATGTGTCTGTCTTCATGTGGATACCTTTCCTCTTCTTATAAGGACAGGAGTCCTATTGGGTAGGGCCCTCCCTAATGATTTTATCTTAACTGGATTCCATCTAAAAGATCCCATTGCCAAATAAGGTTGCATTCACAGGTATTAGAGGTGAAGACTTCAACACATTTTTTGGAGGACACAATTCATTCTGTAACAGTCCATTTTTATTTCAGTTTCCCTTCTGAAGAGCCCAGTGTAGGGTACTGGGTGTTGAAGGTGATGGGTGGTTATAAAAGTTAGGAAAAGAGCAGATGTGGAGGAGGAGAATGGGAGCAGAGTTGGCTGGCCAATATGTCATCTGTCACTTGGTCTAGCAAGATTACTCCAGCCCCACTCTGGGATTCAGGGTGCAGAGGCTGGGGACACCGAGGGAAGTGCGTACGTGCCCCCACCACCCCCCTCCCGAGAAGAAAGAGAGACACCAGAGCCAGGCCCACAGAGGGAGATGGGGACAGAGTGGCAGGGAGTGTGATGGGATCAAAGGGAAGGGCACGTGGACCAGAATCGCTTCCTGGAGGCCAGAAGTCTCCATTAGGTTCTGGAAGGAAAAGCGAGGTGCCCAGTGGCAGAGAGGAGGCAGGAAGCCATTCCAGACAGGCAGCGTGCCCAGCATTATGGCCCAGGGAAAACCAGGCTCTGAGCATAGGCTAGAGCTCTCACTGAGTAGGTGGGGAAGCTGGAAGGACGCAAACAGCTGCCTGACCAGACAACACATCCCCACCCCACGGACTTTGGGGCACAGGCCCTGACACTCCAGGTGCCCTGGGTTCTGACTCTGTGTCCTGTCTTCCGGCAGCTGTGGTCACCTCCACCGTTTCCAGTGGCTACGGCGGTGGCGGCAGCATTGGAGGCGGAAGCCTGGGTCTCGGCGGGGGCAGCGGCTACTCCTTCACCACCAGCACTGGGCACAGCCTGGGTGCGGGCCTGGGCGGCTCCAGCTTCAGCGCCAGTAGCAGCCGGGGCCTTGGGGGCAGTGGCTCCGGGGTCAAGTTTGTCTCCACCACATCCTCCAGCCGGAAGAGCTACAAGCATTAAGTGCAGCCAGCCCTCTCCCCCACCCCAGCCCCGAAGCCTGCCCGCTTGCTGACCTGGCCTGTCTACGCTTGCAGACAGGATACCTGGTCCTTCTTCTTCTCCCCTGGCCCACTTGTGCTGCCGGGAAGGAAGCCTGGCGTCCTGGCTAAACCCCATTCCCCAGCTTAAGCCCTCCTGACAGTCCCCAGAGTGCTCCCCCACCCTCTCTGTGCTGACGCCCGCCCTCTTTCAAGAGTCACATTGGGCTTATCTTGTGGAGACCCTCTCTTCAGCTCCTCCTTCTTCCTCCCCACCTTCCAGATGCAGAGATGGGAAGTGGGTGTTTTCCAGGCCGTCTCAATGCCAGGTTGGCAGGCCCCCTGTCTCACGGGGCTCATAAGCTGCCTGCGAGGAGTGCGGGCTCTCTCTCTTCCCTCCCTGGGAGGCGTCTATTAAATGCACGTGTAATGTGTTTGGTGTCCAGCCCTCTCTGTTTGGCATGGTGTTGCAGCACAGAACGATCCTCCTCTCCGAGCCACGAAGAGTGCCCAGAGTACATCAGATCTTCCCTGCTTCCAGAATGAAGAATGCTGGGCTGGGGAGATGGGAGGGATGAAGAGGGGCAGACTGCCAGCCAGACTCCATCCTGGTGTTTCTGCCCACTTCCTCCTGTCTCTTGTTGGGATGCGTTCTTTGAGAAGCCCAAGCCCCTGGGCAGCTCTGTCCGTCCTCCCGACTCTGTATGTCATTCAGGGCGATACCATCCCCTCCCAAACCCTAACTGTTTTCTGAGGACACTGATGTAGGGTGGGCAGCCCAGCCCTCCTCCAGCAAAGGGGCTGATTGTTCCCTGACAGCTTCAAACTTGCAGACCTGAGCAGAGAAATAACAGGCCAGGAGAGGAGTTAAAAGTCAGCCCTGGGGGCAATGCTTTTACCAAGCAGAGCCACTGAGACCCATAATTGCAGGCGGCAGTGAGGCATCCAGGAAGCTCCCACATTCCTGAATTTACAGTCTCCCGAACCCCTCCCATAAGGTCTGAGCCTGGCATCACCCGGAGTGGGGACCGCCCATGTGGACTTTGAGGAAGTGAGCTCAGGGCTCAGGACCATGCTTGGAACTGGTGGGAGCCAGGAACCAGGAATCTGAACCACAACAAACCAGGATGCTGTGCAGGAAGCTAGGTGGCAGGAGGGGAGAGGCCATGAACCGAGAGAAGATGAGTGTAAAACCAGGGGCTAAAGTCAGGAAGGGTTGGGAGGGATGGCAGGAAGGAGAGAAATGACACCGAGGGTAATCTTTAAATGTTCCTGGTCCCCAGGGACGAGAGGAGTAGGGAGGATAGGAATTTGGAAAGAAATCCTGAGTCTGCCGCCCTCAGACAAGCCACCCCTCCTCCAACCAGCGTCAGGTGCAAAGATCCTGTGGTCAGACCACTGCGCCCTAACATCAGCCCAGTACCCACTAGCCATGTGACCATGGCCAAGTCTCACAATGACTCTATGCCTCAATAGCTTCATGAGCAGAACAAGAAGAGTAATAGCTACCCCGTGGTGCTGCGTGAAGATTAAACGAGAAGACTGGCGTAAAGCAGCTATACCTATAGTAGCTGCTCAATAAACGTTGGCAACTATTACTCTCATCCTCACCCTCACAAAGTTATTACGAGAATCGAATGACATAATCTTGCAGCTGACCTGCCACATGCTCTGGCACAGACTGAGTCCTCAGCAAATGGGGTTTCTCTTCTTTTCCCAGTGACAGGAAGGGCATGATCCAGTGCTTGGGTTCAGAGTCCAAGACCTGGGAATCCAAAGAGAGGAACAGTTGAGAAACAGTGGGAGTGCCTGCCCTGTGAGCCTGAGAACCTGGGTGGGCAGGGGGCTCAGGACCCAGGCCTGCCCCAGGCCTGAATCCCCAGGCCTGGTCCTGCCCTGGGTAGGGTGTTCCCCGTGATGATTAGGGGGCAGGAAGACGGGCACTGGCCAGACATGCCATTGAGATGAACTCAACAGAGTGGTCTTTGATCTTCTCCGGCCAAGCCCAGTTCTTGGAAGGGATAAAAGTCAAGGAGAGTCTGGGACAGCTAGACTTGGAAGGCTCCTCATCCCTTTGACACTTGTGCTCCTCTCACTGGCACCGGCTCCCACCATGACCCAACGATCTTCTGTCACCATCAAGTCAGGAGGCGCTCGGAACTTTAGTGCTTCTTCGGCCAGCCTCCTCCCAGGCTGCCGGCCTAGCTTCAGCTCTGTCTCTGTGTCCCAGGGCGGGAAGAGCTTCGGGGGCAGCTTTGGGGGTGGCTTCGGGACCAGGAGCCTCCGCAGCTTTGGGGGTAGCAAGAGAATCTCCATCAGTGGAGGCTATCGCTGCAGCCGGGCCGGCAGTGGGGGTGCCAGCTATGGGCTGGGTCTCGGAGGCATGGGCTACAGAGCCGGGGGAGCCTTCGGGGGGTACGGATTTGGAGGCGGGATGATGTCTGGCTCCGGGGGCATCCAGGGGGTCACTGTCAACCAAAGCCTCCTGACCCCCCTCCACCTGGAGATTGATCCCTCCCTCCAGCGGGTGCGAAAGGAGGAAAAGGAGCAGATCAAGACCCTCAACAACAAGTTCGCCTCCTTCATTGACAAGGTGAGAGGCAAGAGGGGTCCCCACCGGGAAAGCAGCAGGTACCCGGGGTATCTCTGCTTTCTGTGCTTTTCTGAGGTCAAGTGGGACTTGCCCAAGACCTGCGATCCTGGGGGCTGGGAAGACTGCTGACCCAGTGAAGAAGGGAGCAGTTTCCCACCTTGTTGAGGTGGGAGCAAAAAAATGTTCATCTCCACACTCCAGAGCTATCTGACCTACTGAAAGGTCATTGCTCTTTTGGTGGATAGGGAATGTGTACTGGGCTTAAGGTTAGACAGCAAAAAGGGATCATTTTGTAGGCAAAGGAATGAAGGAATGAAAGGTTATGAGAAACAGGCTGGGGTCACCTTTCCCTGCAGTTAAAAGGGACAAATCCTCCTGCGGTGACCTCCCTGGTGACTTGGGTATGGTGGGGAAGCTGAGTGGTTGGCGAGGGGCCGGCTTTCCCACTTTTCTTCTGGCGAGAGCTGAGCTGTGACATCAGCCCTGAGTGCACCCTGAGGGAAGGCCTGTACTCCTAGGGATGTCCCCAGGTCCGGGGAAAGAAGCTATTCTATTTTATTCTACCACTGCTTCACACCTGAGCTGGTTGCTTTGTCCGGAAAGAACCAGTTCAAGGACCTGGCTTGTTCAGGCTCCATATATGGGACCTGGAAGGAAGAGTGCTGGACTCTTCCAACCCAGACTCTAGTGCTAGGAGAACATCCCCTAACTTCTTGGGCCTCGGTTGGATTGGACAGACTCTAAGGTGGCTCTGCAGGTCTAACAGGCTATGGAATGCCTCATCCAAGGGTCGCAGATCTTCCAATGCACCAGTCTAACCCCAGGGACTGTTGAGCCAGGGGTTCTTCCATTTGATCACCCGTGTCACCCCACTTGGCCTTGTATTTGCACCAACAGATGTGAGGTTCCCAGGAGACTGGCTCTGAGGGGAATAGGCAGGCCCTCCTTTGCTGGGTTCATCTGGAGGGGGCTGGAGGGGAAAGGGGGTGTGATAAGGAGGGACTTGAGGTCAGGCTTGCCCTCCTTCTGACAGCAGAGAAGAAAGGCGGGAAGGGCAAGAGGGGCATTTTTTTTTAATTTTATTTATTTATTTGACAGAGAGATAGAGAGCGAGCACAAGTAGGCAGAGCGGCAGGCAGAGAGAGAGGGAGAAGCAGGCTCCCTGCTGAGCAGAGAGCCCGATGCGGGGCTCGATCCCAGGACCCTGGGATCGTGACCTGAGCCGAAGGCAGACGCTTAACGACTGAGCCACCCAGGCGCCCCAAGAGGGGCATTTGTTAAAGGCCCTCTGGAGGCCCACTGCCATCGCCAAGGTGTTGGAGGCTCCTTTGTTCCTTCACTCTGAGGCCGTGTATCACTCCATGGACTCCCAAAGGAAGGACTTTGTGTAAGGAGAAAGGTTTCACATATTCCCAAGGCTGCCTCCCAGACGGAGGAGCAGATAGATGAGTGCAATTCAAGCGAACCAGACGAGTAGCACAAGACCACAGGGGACCTGAGAGAGCAGAAGGGGCTTGCCCAGGCCACACAGCTGGCCAGGGACATGGCTGGCATTGTGCCCAGGTCCCCCAACGTGACTTTAGAGTGACCCATTTCAGCGTTCCTGGACTGCATGGGCAACTGAGTTCAGATTCTAGATCTAGAGAAATCACGTAGGAAAGAAAATGGACAGACTACATTTTCTGCCAAGAACCTCCTGCCCATTTAATGGAAATCGAAATCCCGACCAGTAAGGTGATGGTAGAGAGTTATTTCCTTCAGCTACTGCACATCAGTACGGTTTGGTGGATGCAGATGGTCTCCAGCCCCTCTGGTCCTGGTCCTCCTTACTTCTCCCACCTCCGCACCAAGCCGCCGCCTGTCTCCCAGGCCCATTGCACCCACATTTGGGTGGCTATCTACGTTGCAGGATCCTTCCAGGGTAAGGACCAGGAGGAGCCTGCCACCTGGACTCCAAGCTCCTGGAGGGCCTCCCTGCACTGTTGGGGCGCCCTATGTTACAGAGCTCTCCGGGAGGCTGCTACAGGGCAGCCCTCACAGTCTCTCCCCTCTGGCCGGGGCAGGTGCGGTTCCTGGAGCAGCAGAACAAGGTCCTGGAGACCAAATGGAGCCTCCTGCGGGAGCATAAAACCACCAGGGCCAACATCGAGCCCATGTTTGAAGCCTACATCAGCAGCCTGAGGCGGCAGCTGGACTGCCTGGGTGGCGAGCGGACGCGGCTGGAGACGGAGTTGAAGAACATGCAGGACGTGGTGGAAGACTTCAAGAACAAGTGAGTAAACACTCAGCCGGATGCCCCAAGGGTCCTGGGGAGGCCCCGCTCTCTGCAAGCGTCCAGTCCAGGGAGGCAGTAGGACGCACCCTCAGGGCAGCGAGGCGGAATCAGAAAA